CTCATTGTTCTGTGCATGTCATGTGATTGCACTCCAGGTGATCTGTTCTATAATCTTCCCTGGTACCGAGGTCAGGCTGACAGGCCTGTAGCTCCCCGGATCCTCCTTCCAGCTGTTCTGTAGATGAACATCACATTTGTCACCATATCAGTTGACTGGATGTTAAACAGTTGACTCTCTGTTTAGCCAGAACTGCTGGTAAATCATGGAGAGTGACTTGGTGAGCACTTCCACCAGTTGCCTTGGTGTCCATATGTGAATCTCATCTGGCCCCATAGGTTTGTGTGTGTCTAAGTGGTAAGGCAGGTCATTGACCATTTTCTCTTGGATTATGGGGGCTTCATTTTTCTCCCTGTCCTCAAGCTCAGGGGGCTGGGTACCTGGAGAACAATTAGTCTTACTATTTTAGCCTGAGGCAAAGAAAGCATTAAGTACCTAAAATCTTCTCCTCATCCTTTGTCACTATGTTTTCCTCCTCAGCCACTAAAGGATTAAGATTGTCCTTAGACTTCCTTTTGTTGCTGATGCATTTATAGAAACATTTTTTTATGACAGTAAGTTCTATTTGGGCTTTGGCCCTTTCAATTTTTTCCCTGCATAACTTCACAATGTCCTTGTAGTCCTCCTGAGTTGCCTGCCCCTTCTTCCAAAAGTCATAAAGTCTCCTTTTTTTTCCTTAGTTTCAGCTGAAGCATTTCATTAAGGGATGTGACCATCTCTCAGGCCTTGGCTCTTCCTACCTAACCTTGACCACTCTCTGCAGTCAGCAGGAAAAGACCTGCACCTTCTGAGAACACCAACAAACAGCCTGCACCACCATGGGAAGCATGGGGTTTGGCCAGGACCACAGCTTTTGTAGCATATCCTCAATTTCATGAAATCACAAGCAAAACTCTGGGAAAACTGTCTTCAGCAGTTAACAAGAACAAGCCAGGGCTCAGGGAAGCTCAAAATACTTTGAAAAAATCCCTAACTTGCAATTTAGGGATGGGAGGATGTGGTTGGGCTGCTAAGACAAGCACAAAAGGCCGGGGCAGGTGTTTTACGAAGACAGCACAAACCCAGCTGTATTAAGCTGTCTAATAAGAAATGAGAACGGGAAAGTCAGCATTTACACAGAGCCCAGCTACAGGCAATAATCCAATTTACAGGGAAGTAAGAGGCTGCTGGTGACCTTGCCAAAAACCCAGCTTTCCAAAAATAGTACTGAGAAATGAGTAGTGCAAAAATAAGGGGCTAATCAGCAACAATAAGAAGGAGAGAGACAGAAAGTTTGTCTCTCTGCAAAAGGTAAATTATACACTATAAAAATGACATCCATCCATTTCAAGCCAAAATACTTATGAGTTTCCAGGAATTTGTAAATCAGTGAACAGGCTAGGAAAAATTATTGAGCTTACCCCATTTTTCCCCAAACCTGCCTAAATTTTAGTATAATTACCAGTTGTTTCTATAAATAGCTGCTGTTGCATTTTTCCTCCATTTGTACTTTAAATAGGGTACAAAAGCTGTGAGTCCAGCCCATCTCGCCACCACACACTCTGGATGGAGACCTGTAGGATACTATGATGGTCCCCACTGAAGTGATTAATGACACTGGCTGGGGACATGGAACAAGGCAGAGAATGGACAGTGCTTAGGACTGTCCCTATGCAGTCCTGTGGCACTCTGCAGGCAACTCAGTCAAATCTCACCATCTGTGCCCTCGACATTATCAGATCGAGCAATACTCAGGTGGACCAAGCAATACTCATGATCATCTGCCTTTCTAGTACCACCCAGAAATTATCCTCCACTGTTGTCACTAATTCTGTCTGGTTTGTAACCAAATAAGCACAGACCGGAGGTTTGGTACCTTCTGGGATTATGAGAGTTTGCTTATCACACAGTCCTCTGCAAGACTAAGTGATGGACAGTCATTATGGGCATTGTCATCTCAGCACATGACAGACTTGAGAAACCTTTAAGGAATGAGTCAATTCAACTTCTCTGTGAGAGATGCCAAAAAACATACATCAGGTATAGACTTTTTTTATAACCAGGAAGATCAAGGATCCAAAGCAGTGACCAAAATGCAAAGGGTTCACAAAACCTAATTCCCACCAGGAACATCGTTAGCATTCAGCAGAAGTAGTGTGTTCCTCTCAGGATCCTACATGAGTTTGTGACAGTTAAACTCTGCCCAAACTGACTCCATTTTATTCACAGAGTAATAATTTCTCCACACAAGAGACATCTGAGTCAGCTGCTTAATGAAGGCATCTCACAGAAAGCAAAGCCAGGGACTGGAATACGCTTCCAAGCTGGTGCCACCTTACCACTTGATGAAGCACCTCCTCTGCCTAGGCCTGCCAAAATCTTCACTCAGAACGCTCCAAACTGAACGCCTAAGATGGAAATAATTGTCCCCAAAGTAATTATAGAGGCAACAGAGAGAAACAAGGGACTCCAGCTGGTGACACAGCCTACCCTAAAATTTTTGTCTAAAAGCGGTCAGATAAATCACAGCCTGAAGGTGCTCATTTCTTCCAACAGGCTGGAAAGGAAGCCCAGGGTCACCAGCTGACTTGTGGATTTCCTGTCCTGGATGAACACTTGACATTAGGTGAGATTACTCCCAAACGCCTGGTGGAAAGTTACATTCCATGTGTCCTTCCTGCCCATGTACAGGGACATGACAGGATTCAGTGCCCTGACCACTGACAAAGGAGTGGTTTATTTCTTCTAACAGGACACAAATTACTTTGTTAAACATGAATATACAATCAAAACTTGTCACTACTGCTACCCTCCTCTGGAGCTCTGCATTAGAGTCTTCATAGTTCTATTTCTCACTCTTAACAAACATTCAAACATGGTGAAGGAGATGGCTAAGAGAAAAGTAGCATGTTTGAAGGCACAGAAGCATGAACATGTTCCCCAGCACGGGGCTGAGGTATTTAGCTATTTATAGCTGTGATCCAGTCATTAAGCTGTAGCAACTTGCTGTCGGCACATCTTCCTATTAATGAACATTGCTCCTCTTCTCACCTGATCCTTACACATACAGCCCTCCCTGCACCACTGAGAGCCAGCCCTTTACCTTCAACCATGAGAGATTTTCCTCAGCATCTTGAAGCCCTAACAGCAGAAGAAAATGCCACTTTCTTTAAGCCTCTGAAGTAAACAGTCATCACTGGGACTTGGCATGGGGTTGTCTGAGTGAAATACAAGGTGAAAGATAATTCATGCTTTAGGTAATTTGGTGCCAAATCACTTAGAGACCTATAAACTAGAGTGACAACACGGTTTTGGGGTCCTGTTGCAAGAGATAAACCTCACCATAACCTTTCCTTTGCTTTACAATAAAGCTCCTACAATTGCTCTGCAGAAGTCTCCTTATGCCTGTCTTCTTAGATTACCTAAAGGCTCCTATATTCTGCCTGAAAGATTGTGACAAATTGCACTGCATCCAGGATGTCCAAGACAGAGGAAAATGTGTTTCCAGCTGCTCTGGTCACACAACTGAGACTAGACCAGATTTTTAAACATGAGCATATCAACAGGCTCTGCATCTCCTGTGTCAGGAGATTACTTGAGACTGCATGTCCTTTAGAGCATGAGCAGATACACCTCCAAATACCAGCCTGAGTCATGGAATAGACATCAATATGCCATTTTTGGTAACGTATTTGCTTGCTCTGGAGCAGGTAAAAACTTGCCTTATCTGACCATCCAAGAAATCAAGAGAGACCTCACTGCTCTGTTTAGGAGATGACAGATTGCCTGCTCCATTCTCTCTTGTGGCCCCACCATGATGTCTGGGAGGAGGGATCCTCCTTTATTCATTATCACTTTGTAGCAGAGACCTGTGAGTATGCCCTTGGACTATGAGCTGGTACCCACATTTCTCACGGTAATCTTCTTGTCCACCCCTTCTGGGCTACAGTTACGTGCAACAGTTCAGCAGCAGTGCAAAAGCAGGCAGTTCTTCCCAACAGCAGCGTCCCCCACAGCCTCAGCATCCACATGAGCGTGACACCTCTGCTCTTTCTCTCCCCTGCTGTCACAGGTGAGGATATACCCCTGACCTTCCTTCATTTTCTCTAGGGCTGTATACCTGGGGCAGGACCCAGAATTTTGAGCTGCCAATCACTGGGTCAGATCTGCTCAAAGCAACTTAATGGTGAACTGCAGGCTTCCCATCAGCTGGTCTGTATGCAAGAGGGGATGGTGGCTGCTAAATTGTACAAGATTTGAAAGCAAAGCTGAGGAAAACACGTGGCGGGGGGGGGGGGGGGGAACTGCTGAATTGATGTCAATTATCAACAGTTTAAAACAAAGGAGGGAAATTATCAGACAATCAAACAAAAAGGCACTACAAGGACAAGGTATGACAATCCTAAGAGAAGTAGCAGCAGGACCAAGGCGCAGAGAGGTCAGATGTTCTCTGCCTGCCTGCAGTGGTCTGATCAACGAGTGCCCACTGGATGATAGATCAGGGCTGGTGAAGATATTGGGGCTTACCCAGAAAGAATGTGGCACATATAATGTGTTTTTCTGTGTCCCATTTTCTTTCATGGGTCCATGTCATCTGGAAGGCTACATTTTCCATAATCCACTGCTTACCCTGTATGAAAGACAGAATGCTGGTGCATAGCAGAAGATACTTCAGCCATTGAACTTGGCCATCTGTAAGAAAGTAAGTGACCACCAGAGACTCAAATTCAGCTCACAGCTGGTATCCTCAAGCATGAATTATCTTTTGAAGATCTTGGCCTTATTATCAGAAACTTTGAAAAAAAAAAAAAAGCTGAAAAACATGATTCTTGACTCTAGGCAAATTCATGGCAGTCACTCACACCATATAATCAGAAGGTGAAATACATCTAAGTAGTACAAGAAAGTTTCAGAATAACACAATGTTCCCCAGATGTTTTCAAGCTCTACTGGGATTTTATTAGGTTTCACAAAAAAAAAAGGAGAAAAGCTTTCCAGGAATTGAACTAACAGGTCTTAGAACAAAGCTTCATGTGTCCCCAAGCTGATGCTTAGTTGACAGCTTCTGTCCTGCTTCTTCATACATTGGGGAAGTGATGGCAATGATCTCCTTTTCCAGCATTTCCATTTGAGCCATAATGTCTGACACAGTGTTTTTCACAGCATTCAGCTGCAGCTTCAATTTATTGTAATCTTCTTGGAAGGATCCATCCATGTCATAGAGACTGTGACAGCCCTGTTTCTCCCCAGGGAGATGGTTCATTTTCAGGAAGTTGTGGTGGAGCTCGCATAGGTCTGGGACAACCCAGAGAATTTCATGCTTACCTGGTGTAGTTGTGGCAGACTTGGTCTTATTCTGGGTTGGAGTAGTGCTCTTCTTTTTACCTTCATTTTTCTGCTGGGGGACTGGACCAATGTTACCTTTTTCCACAGCTCTGATGGTATCAGTGTTCTTCTGAAGATCTGAGGGGGCATCTTTGCTCTCTTTATGGACTGTGATGGCTTCTTGGTCTTTCCAGGTAACAGAAACTGCTTTATTCTCCCGCTGGAAATCCTCAAAGACTTTATTCTTTTCCTGGACTGCTTGGAGAGCTTTTTTGCCTGGGCTGAACTGAAAGTCTTGGAAGAATGGAAATGACTTGTTTTCGTTCTGGAGGCTTTGCTGAATAGCATCAGTGTAAATAAACCAGACAGCTTTTTTCTGTGACTGACAAAGCTCTTGTAGAGCTTTGTTTTCTTCCCAGAGCATCCTGGTTTTGATGCAGAGGACTTGGTTTTCCTGCCAGAGTGCTCTGTTCTCCTCCCAGATGCTCCACTCATTCTGTGTCTCCTTGCTAAAGAGTTTCCGGTGGGAAGGAAAGGGTGGCTGGCAGTAGATCTCATTCCCCCATTTACCATCAGTGAAGACAAACATCTGATCCCTTGGTTTCATCCGAGGGGTGATATAGTCTGTCTCAGGCTCTGTACACTGCATGCTCTGGTTCCTCAAATCAAATGCAGACATCGCCTTTCTTTAGTAAATTGAGGAGGGCTGTGTGAAAAGGTTTTTTCCAGGACTTCTGCAAGGGGCCACTGTCCACTGTCAAGGAGTAGGTGACACACTGGGACTGGAGAAACTTGATTAGGACTGAAAGAACAGGGAACACAAATGCATAGACTTACTGCCAAAATTCCAAATCAGAATCAGACTACATTAATGATAGGAACGAGCAAATAAATCAGTTCTCACAGTTGACCGTGTTACCCCTTTGATGCTGAAAGGTAAGGAATACACCAGATACTTAACTTATAGAAGCTGAGAAAATTGGCATTGGTAGATAAAGCACCCCTATGGCAGCACTACAAGCTGTTGATAAAACCTTGGACTTTTCCTTTGTCTCTCTACCGCATTTTTATGGACCTATAAGAGAGCAAAATGCAAGAATATCTTTTGCCTCAGAATAACCTGTTCCCAAATGACTGACAGACGAACAAATTAAAAATTGTTATGAGACTGAAACAACTTTACAAAATAAAACATTTTTAAAGGATCATAGAGCAAACTGGCCTTGAGAGAAGGATTTTCTTGTTGATGTTGAGTAGCCTGTGTTAACTGGACACCACAAAAATGCTGTGGCAGTTTTGGTCTTAAAATCCACAGAACTGCGAACAGGAAGAGCATGAAGTGATACACTATGCACAGATAATTTAAAACTCCAAACCACAGCCCTGGGACATCAAGACCAAGACAGCTCTGTTGCTCTTTGCATGTTTTTTTGACAAGCTCCCATCACCATGGTCCAAACACTGTCACAACCCATAGATAATTCTCCATCTTTCTTTCTCATTTCTCCTGTCACTCTTTTCTTTATATCCCTTGATAGTTCTGTTATTTTTCTTGCTTTCTAACCCTACAATAGTGATTGCTTATCTTTTTCCTACAGTCCATCTGCCTCTTTTTCACATCATCAGAAAACTCATCTCTAAAATCCATACTGCAGGGCCTCACCTTTAATGTTTCTCATTTCAGTCACAGAAACCTCAGCTGAACACTATTCCCCCCCTTTCCTCTACCCAAAATGTTGCAGCCTGAATCACCTTCTAGTCAGGAGTAAACCACGGCAAATGAAGGACTTCAGTCTTTTACATGAAAAAAAAAAGCAACCCACCAAATAATCAAAAATGTTTTGTGCCAAAGAAAAGCTTATTTTCTGCAGTTTTAACCAAAATTAAATTAGTGTGATTTTCATGATGAAATTATTTGAACTGAGGTTGAACTGTTTTTATAACTAAATTGTTGGAATTCTTAGGGTTTCTGCACAATGTTTCTAACAGAGCAAATGTGCCTTTTTCTAGTTAAAAAAATAAGAAAGAAGTTAGTTGTCAAATTTCACTCAGGTCTGCTCCTCTCCCCAGCTGCCCTTCTGTCCCTTGGAAAGCCTTTTTCTGCCTTTTTGTCCATGAGGAGAGTTTTACCTTCATGAATCTTGCCCTCATGTCTCTACTCCAGGCATTAAGCACAGGGTGACCACCACACACAATATCCTCGTAGCCTCCAGCTCTGCCATCCCATTGTGCATGCTGTGTCCTATTTTTGCCTCTCCTAATCAAAACCTGTTGCTTCCCCCCCTTTCCCTGTCATTTTCACAAAACAGCACTGCATCTCCAGGCTCCTCCAGGTTTCTTCTGAGAGCAAATATTGATAGATGCATCCTTCACCCCCTTACTAGCTTGTCCAAATGCTCATAAAATTATTGCTTCATTTAAAATCCAAAAGTCCTTAATATAGGAGAGGGCTATTGCAATATAGGTATGGTTGAAGTAACACTTGATTTTATTGAAATAGGGTTTCCATCTGACTTTCAGTGTTGTCTTCCACATCACTGGCTGCTTAATCACATATAAGACTTGTGTTTTCATAGTATTATTTCTCTTCTAAAAGGGATTTCCCCAAAATCTCTTTTTTAGCAGCTTTGTTTTCACTTACACCACATATGTTCAGAGCCATATGTTGCTCCCTCCCTTGCACCCTTTCCCCTGCAGCCTTTCTGATCCATTCCATTCCACTGGGGTCCCCATCCCATTGAGCCATTCACTTAAGAGTTGAACTCGATGATCCTTGTGGGTTCCTTCCAACTCAGAATATTCTGTGATTCTGTTTCCCCCAACAGCTCAAAGACAGGGGCAGAGGGCAAATCAGTAACATGGGGAAAAGACCCCTAAATATCCAGAGGAGATGCAGAAAACATCCAGCATCATAAGCCCAGACCCACCTGCCACTGCGTATGATGGGCCAGCAGCTAGAGTTGTTAAAGTCACTTACGGTTAAAGTGTTTAGACAGCATATTTTCAGGATAAACAGAAATGTATAATATATACGGCCTTGAAGGACATTATCTTGGGGACAATTAAACCTGACAGTGGCTCTGTCAGCTCTTTTGCACTCCAGGGGACACATCGACCCAAGTTTCAGAGAGAGACTTCAAGTTGTCCCGCCTCCCGTATAATTTTTCCCCCATATCTGAATAACCCTGGGAAATGCTGGGAGCTGGGGTGGATGGGCAAGGTAGCCAGCTGCAGGGAAGCCACACAAAGTCAAGACAGGCTGGGCAATTTGATTGCACTAAACTGCACACCCAGCACATGCTCACCTTCTCACTGAAGCCAGGGCTCTTCCCTTCTCCCCATGGTACAGCCAAGCATCCCGGTCTGAGCTCCTGCTGCTGCAGAGTGTCCAAGGGCAGAGAGAGTGCACAGCAAGGGACAGTAGGGACTGATAGTGATGTGAGCACTGGCAGAGACCTTGCTCCAGATGCAGCCACCTGCCCCACCCCCAGGGGCTGGGAGCTCCTGCACACCCTCCTTGCACAACCCACTTCTGCACTTCTTCCCTGCTGTCATCTCAAGATTGTCTTCGATTTTTCCCAGCATTGCTCTTTTGGGTTATTTCTCATGGAAACGACCTTTCTGCTAGCTCGGCTCCCATGCCCTTTCCTGATCCCAGACTTCCTGATCTGCCTTTGATGCTCATAACTGAGAGGCATTTGGATGGATTCTTTCTCCATCACACCTGCTTAAAACAAATTTTGTTTGTATTTTGAATCTTCAAATTATATTTGTTGCTGGACTGATATTGATAAGTTCAAAAATCACGTCCTTGTATGCGCTATGAGAGTTGAAGTTATTTTCCAAGGACAATGTGGGTTTGAAGTTCTTCTTTGACTATAGGTTTAAGAGCAGATTATCACTAAACCCTATTAAGAAGAAAGTAGAATATGCAGGGCATTCATGCATTGCAAGTTTAGATATTATTTGTATCAGCTATTCCCACTTCCATGTCTTTAAATTTCTAATGATCTCATTGTCTTTCTTATTTGCTACATCTTTCAGATGTGGAATTTTTTTTTCTAATCAGAGTTCTTGAATAATAAATACAGCAGTTAATTTCTTTTCCAGTGAAAATTACCATGGTGACATCAGCCTCAAGGTGACTGTTATTGCTTTAGGAACTTGGAGGTACAGTTCAGCTTTGGTGTTATATGAAAATTATAAACTCAGGTATAAAATTCTTCTCTGTAATTTCTCCCTTGCTTTTATTTAATCTTAGACAACAAAAAAAATCACAGATTACTATGGCAACTCCCCAGGGAGCATTCTTCTTTATTTGAGCTCCAGGATCTTGTACAGGAAAACAGAAAAACGTCCTCAAAAGAGAAAGGAAAATATTTCAACATGGGGTGCTTGTGCTTGGCCTGCCATCAGAGGGAATTTAAGGGCACTACCCTGTGCAACCAGTTTTCAGGAGAGGTGACTGAAATGGCCAGTCTGAACTTCAGGAGAACTGGGTCTGTGGGCACTGAAAGTGACCTCAGATGAACAGTTAGAAGTCTAAGAGCTGACTAGAAACTGACTTTAAATAGAGACAAGTGCAGCATAAGACTGATCAGCAGAGAAAGCCTGCTTAATCAAAAACCATGGAGAACTAAGTTGGTAGTGTATCTTTACCTTTTCTTATGCAGTATTTTCCTTAAAGTTGTGTAAAGTTCTTCTGGCAAGTCATTTATTTGCTGAAAATTATGAATTCAAATGCCAGTACATTTAAATCAAATTTAGTGAATATCATGAAATATGTTTATGCGCACATCAGAATTGGAAATGCTGCAACAGCTCACTGAAGAATTTTTTGTACCAGCTACACTGATTTTTGAACTGAACTCCCGAAAGGACTGAGATGTCATTCACAAGATTATAAAGGCAGAAATAATGCTGAGTGTGTTCCCCTCCCTACCAAGAGACAAGCAACTTCTGCTCTGTAAGAAGGGTTTGACCTGACTTCCCAGCTGAGTGCTTTGTCCAGAGCTTCAAATTACTCAATTTCCCAAAGATGTTTCACTATACAAAGAATTAAATATTAATTGGAATCAAAGCCATATTCCCCATCCCACCCACACACCTTATATCAGGCTGTTCATCTGACTTTGTTGTCCTTCTTCTTGGCAGTTATCTGGTTTTAGAAAGGATTCAGTGGGAGAGAGTGTATGACCCCAGACACACTTATATAATTCTCCATGTTCCATGCTGGGGTGCAAGAGATCACCCAGTGATGGGCTGAAAGCAAGGGGGAAGAGTGAGGTCTGAACTGCTGCCACGAAGATCTTGCAAGACCCTGTAGACCCCATACTAGCCTCCCTCCTAGTGGAAATGGTGGCATGTACCTGCAGTAAAGTTCATCCCTTTCCTTTCGTTGCGTTTGCGTTAGAAGACCTGTCAAAGTGCTTGCACTAATAATAATCTTTTGCTTTTTTTAGTAAAAGTATAATGTTTCTTTGAATTTTGAGCATCTTCTCTCTTTTTCTATTCTCATAAATGTGCTATATTCCCAAATACTTATTTGATGAAACCAAAGGCATGTGCTGCCACTTTTTACCATCCCAAACACATTTGTTCTTCTGAAATGCCAGCTTCTGTTCATGTCAATGCAGGCTGGTCTCACCACACACTCATTCACTGTTCTCCAGTGCATTAAGCCTGGATGCAAATCCCACCTAGTCACTAGAAGGCCTCTTGCATACTTGAGTGCTCTTGAATCATCTCCTGACCTCAATAACTAGATAGGGAGTAAAAATGATGTTTTCTCAGTTTTTGAGGCAGTGAAGTGTCTGGAGGGAGATGTGGTGATATCTTAGCATAGTATTTTTCCCAGGGAGAGATGAGTGCACTTCGTCAACAGTGTAAAAATCAGTAATGAAAAACTCCAGATCAGTTTTTTTTGAGACAGATAAATGGCTCGAGGGACACACCTATGTCAACCTCTATTTAGACTAATTGTCCTTCCAGTGACACCATCACAAAGCTGCGTTTGCCTTGGTATAACCCTCATACATCCAATGCCATGCAAACACCAAACTCTGCACATTCCTGTCAACAGTGGGTCAGCTGAGAGCTGAAACAAAAGGTAGAAATATCTACTTTCATACCTTCTCTCTGATTCTAATTTCATTTTAGATATTGGGCAAGTCATCTGTTCCCATACCCCCATTTCCTCAGGTTCTCAGAGAGTTTGGGATACTGACTTTCTGATGCAAGTGTCAAGAGAAATTAATTTTTACTTTTAAAGTGCCTTGAACATGAAAGTATGACAGTAAAGAAGCCCTACATGCTACTTTTATTTATATCCATGATTGTAATACACACATTCTTTACAAGGTGAAGCAAAACATTTAACTTTTGCTAGTAAGTGACATCTTACAGACATGTCAGGCTTTGTGTTGTTCCGCCTTAGATCTCATTCCCACTTTGCTTTCTTTCTACTTCAGCTACGAATATTTCAAAAATTTCATCAAAACCATGTGCAGTCTCTTGGTCAACTCTAAGCCATCACCTGTCAACACTATTCCTTTGTGCTGTGCCTCTGTGATATACTGCTTGTGAGCCTTGCCAACAAAACACAGCCGAACTGCTGTATCGCTCTCGTAGTTCTGCCTGATCAGATCAAAATTTACAGAGCACGCTGTGCTGCTGGAACAGCCCATTAGTAGTTTATTGTTGATTAAATACTAGAAAAAATTATCATTGGTGCACTTTTTTCAGTTCTGCAGGCAGAGGTACGCTCACCACAGCGGATGGAGGGGCAGAGCTAACATTGCACCCAGAGGAGTTCCTTGGTCTTTCTGTACACAGGGACAATTTGGATTGGTACAGTCACCTCAATGTGCCACACGTGACCAGGAGGTATCCCACATGGCCTGCAAAGGACACTCTGAGAGGCAGGCCTGCCACCAGGATGTGCTGAACACACTGTCCCTGACCTCTGATACTCGCAAACCCCAAACAGCAATAGGCAGTGGTGTTCAGGCAACAGACTTGAGCCCTTCATGGTTTGTCAGCCAAGTGATGCTTGGGCCCTCATTACTGCACTTCTCTGCTGACTGCAGTAGAGCTTAAACACTTTACTATCCTGTAGGTATTACATGTAGACATCTCAAAGTAGCTGTCTACAGTTTGGAGGTGAATTCTTCCTGGCCCTCAGCGTTGTTGGATATGATGTGCCACTTCCTAAAGGCGTAGATGTCTCTCCCTGCAGTGAGTGCTGAGGATTCTGCAGTTATTAGCCTCCTCAATTAAGGTGGTTAAAACAGAGCCTCACACCCCAGCAGAGAGCTCCAGCTCAGCTTGGCTCACACATGCACCGTATAAGGGAAGGTGTTGCTGAGCCAACAACTGCTGCATGGCCTGGGACACCTAAATGGGATCAGCTTTGCAGAACAGAAAACTGTCTCTTCTTGACAAGGATTAAAAAAACTATGTGCAAAATTCCTGTCTCTCATGGGCACCAAGCAAGATGCTGCTAAAATTGTGGTAACAGGGGGAACATTCCATTTCATGTGCAGAGGCAGGAGCTGTGAGTCTTGGTGAGTAGAAAAGAACACGAGAGCACAGACTTGAGCTGTGATGTCCTGCAAACATGCAAGATTTGGGAGTTGAGGGCATTTCAGCTCATGCTGAACACAGCAGTTCTTCCACATGACAAGTATCTCTGGGCGAGAGGAAAAGTCAGTGGTTCCATTCCTGATTGACAGGGAGAAAATTGAGAGTTCAAGCTTATTAAATAATCTCTAATAGTGATTTATGGGGTCCTGTACATTTTAATCTAAAAAAAAAATTAAAATCATCTAATTAGCTAAGTGTGTAATCCTGTATATTAATTGTCTATTAGCCACTTCTTAATTATAACGGAATGGATATCAAATAACATGTGATGTCCACGTCGCACCAATTAAGCCATTATCAGACTAGCTCCTACTTTAATAAGGATCTGTTTAACTGAAGTCTAACCATTTCATTTTATTTTAAAAGCAGTACAGAAGAGGAAACAAACACCTTAAAAAAGTAGTATCCTATTAGGACTTAAGAGACACTGTACTGTAAAAAATGATACATGAAGAATCATGAAACCAACATAAAAATTCCATTCAGACACTAATCCAAGGATTTATCAAGGAACCTGAAAACCCAGATCTTGTGTTTAAGTTCCTTATTCATCCACGCAGACCTTCTGGCATTTTTGCCTGACTTCCTCTTTGTTGGGATGTATTGCTCCTGAGCTTGGAGGAGGTGATCCTTGATTAATAACCAACTTTCCTCTTTGGCTTCTCTGTCATTTGGAGAAGGAATTTATTATCAGTGCATTCCAGGAACATCCTGGATCATTAATGTCCTGCTGTGTTGTTCCTCCAACAG